TGGACAACCTCAAGAGGGTTCAGAGGAGGGCCACTCATATGGCCTGCAGGCAAAGCCCTACAAAGAGAGATTGAGGGACCTGGATCTCTTCAGCCTCCACAAGAGAGGGCTGAGAGGTGATCTTGTGGCACCTACAAATTTGTCACGGGGGGAGGGGAGAGAGGGGCAGCAAGGAACAGGAGATGCTTTGTTTGCCAGGGCATCCCTTGGAGTAACTAAGAACAATGGCCACAAACTGACGGAGAGCAGATTTAGGTTAGACATTAGGAAGAACTTCTTTAAGGTAAAGGTTGCCAGAATCTGGAATGGGCTTCTAAGGGAGGTGGTGCTCTCCCCTACCTTGGGGGTCTTTAAGAGGAGGCTGGACATGTACCTGGCTGGGGTCATCTAACCCCATTGCTCTTTTCTGCCCAGGGCAGGGGGTCAGGCTCGATGATCTACCGAGGTCCTTTCGGACCCAAACATCTATGAATCTATGAACCATCCCTTAAAAAATGACATCCATTCTTATATTTTATTGGTAGTTTACTCTTCCAATAAGAATGTATTTTACAGAATAAAAACTTCCACATATCAGGGCATAAATCAGCCACTGACTTAATGGCATTAGAAAGAAACTTCCTTTGTGAGAAATCACCTAATTGTCCATTGTGGGTTTATTCTATGTTTCTCAGAAGCACCTGACAGTGACCACTTCTAAGACACTGGATATCAAATTGTATGGGCTTGGGCTGCTGATCTGATTTGGTATAACTGGTCATTTGTTCCTATCAAGCACCTGTTAGTACACACTTAGATTTCGGGTAACATTGATTGACATAGCAACATTAAAATTAAGTACTGCTCCTGTCTTAGATATCTGGGCATAATTCCTACTGAAGTAAATCCAAGTGCACAAAATTCTATGCACTTGCTTACCTGAGGGATGATATATTTTTGACAGATAGGCAAAGTGTTTCTTGTTTGCTTGTGGTTTTTTTCTTTCATTGCCTTAATCATGATGATTAGCAATTTTTGGATCTACGCTAGTATATTTTCAGGACAAGTTTACAAGCTGAGTAAACGAGAACCGTGTTTATGTGTTTTAGGGAAGAAATAGATAAATCCCAAATCCAAATATCATTTTCAGGCAGGCATGTTGCCAGGAGGTCTCTATACAACAACAGGGCAATTTATGCCTGCCCTAGGGTAGGGAAGAGTGTTTTCAGATGCATATTACTGAAACACATGCTTGGTGTTCAGCCACAAAATTGGTCTCCTATATGGGGAACTGTTATGTATGTTCAAGGTCCCTTATTTCAGATGGCTACTAATGGCCATAACTCTTAATTCTTCTCTGCCTGAGCTTAAATTAATGCTAACATATCAGCTAGTCTTACTTTTTACCAAATAAACACTGTTTCTCCCCTTTATATTTTGCTTTATTTCATACACATTACCTTACTTCACCAAAGCCAGTGGTATTTATTTCACTTGCTCCACTTACTTTATGGAGCACAGAGGCTACTGCTACAAGGGTATGGGTCACTGTGCTGTACTTTCCATTATTTATTTGCCCAACATGGCAACCATCCCTAAATAGCTTCCAACAAGTACCAACTGGGCTGAATCCTCCAGCCATTTGTGTTGTATCATCACAGCTGAGAGCCAAAAAAATCACATAAACATGATACAAGTGTAAGCTGCAGACATGAAGCACAATGTAGTATGCTGCTTGGGAGAGGAGCTTTCTTTTATTATTCCTGGTCATTAGACGCTATATATAAATAAGTAAAAATAAAATAATCAGGGATCAAATTCCTCATGTCATTCCCTCAAAATCATTGATGTGTATCAAAAGAAGATGCAATCTTGCTTTTTATTTCATACCTACTCACCAAAGTGGAAGAAAGTTGGCCGAACCGATTATGTACACAAACTAGATATGACATAGTAATCTCTCACTGCACTGTTTCAACACAGAAGTATGCAATTCTTGCTCTAATTGGTTAAAAAGTAAAAATCCAGGACAGAAAAAGATACTAAATAAAGTCCTTCTACAAACACTTATACATGTATTTAACGTTATGTACTGTACATGAAATCAATGGGATTGCTTAAAGTGCATAAAGTTAACCACATTTATAGGTTTCTGTAGGACTGGGCCCATGATCACTGGTCAGAGGACAAACTGAACTCAGTTTAACTCGTTCACAGTTCTTCAGTCTGCGCCGGAAGAACGAGCGTTATTTGGGATGCAGATGCATTATGGGCATGTAACTTCCCCAGAGTATATGTTCTATAATCCCTGTTATTTTTTTGTTTTTTATTTGACTTATAAACACAAGAGCTTAGCTTATAATTTTTCTTAAATACCTTCACATAAAAACCCAGTAGTTTCCCTAAATCTTGAAAATATTCAACCAAAGGTATTAATAAAATCAGACAATGCCCTGACAATATTCTGCTGCTTTTTATAAATACAAACCCTTGAATTATTTTTAATATTAAGATAATGATTGAGATTGGGACTCCATTATGTGAACTACTGTGTAAGCACACAAGTCCTTGACCCCATGGAGCACAATTTTTCACATAGACAAAGTTGACAAAGCTTGGGAGGGGGAACAGGGACAAGAGAAGTGAAGTGTTTTACCAAAAATCTCACAACAGAATAGCGGCAAAGCCTGCAATAGAACCCACATCTCTTGACTCACAGTCTTATGTTCAAGTCATTAAGACCACGTACTTCACTCAATAATTCCTGCCTCTCCCCAGAAGTTGAGGGAATGAAATGGATGTTCCTATGTATCCTGAAGGTCAACAGATTTGCACTATTATGGAGCAAGTTGTAAGGAAGTGAAGTCAAAACTGAAGGTTCAATCAGGGAAAGCAACTTGCTGTTAGATCTTTGAAATGCTTCTACCTGGGCACAACAGCTGTGGCATGCTGGAGAGATGCAGTTTCAAACTTTCTGGGGTCCTGAAAGGAGGACCTCTGCTACATTTCTCTGTGGTTTTATATGAGCACAGTGATGGTCAGGCATTACCAAAGATACTCAATTGGGGTTCTGCAGCATGCTGGGGTACCTCCAGATCCTTTCAAGGGTGCTGTGAGGTGCCACATGTTAGCATTGGTAGATGTGCACGTTTCACAAGATAAACTGGGTGATTTCAAAGGGGAATCTGCCCTGCTGGGGATTTGCTGGGTTCTTTGCCATAGAAGAATCACTCTGCTATTCTTCCGTAGTCAAAAAATGAGGGAAAACGCAGACCTGGCATTTTCTGAGGGGATTGGTGAGTCTATGGAGGGTGAACACTTTTTCTCTCTTGCTGCAGAGAGTAGGATGTGGACCAATGGCTTGAAGTTGTAGCAAGGTAGGTTTAGATCGGGCACCAGGAACAACTTCTGGTAGGAAGGCAGTGGAGTAGGCTGCCTAGGCAAGTTGTGGACTCTCTGGAGGTGTTCAAGAAGAGGTTAGACAGCTACTGGTCAGGGATGATCTAGGTCAGCATTTCTCAACCTGTGGGTCACGGCCCAGAAGTGGGTCACAAGGATATAAGAAAGAGCCGTGAACAAACTTTAAAAATGGGTTCTCTTTTTAAAGGAGAAAAACATGGGAAACCGTGGCTTTTTCCTTGCAGGCTGGAAGAGGTCTAGCCTGCGAGGGGCTGCTTGGGGTCCCCCATGCCCCACTACTCCGCACCTTGGGGGCTGGGGGCAGCAGGTTGGGAGCAAGGGGCACTGGGTCGGGACTGGCCATTGATGTTTACAAATGGGTCCTGGTACAAAATAGGTTGAGAGCCACTGATCTAGGCGAAGCTATGCCTATGTTCCCCTTATGGGTATTTGCCATGCTTCTGGGCTTGGCTTTGTTTTTAAACCAGTGTCAGAGGCACTGGGTGTTGACTGCAGCCAGGCTGGGGACATTGACTGGGCTGTGCCAATGCTCCTGCTGAGACTTAATGTTCCTCTGCTCAGGGTCAGTGGCCACATTTGGGTTCAGGAGGGAATTTTTCCCCATGGTCAGACAGTGGGTTTTTTGCCTTCCCCTGTAGCCGACGGCCTGGCTTTCAACCTGGGGTCTCCTGAGTGTAAATTAACCACCTCTTATAAAAGCAGGACAGAGGCTCCCATGATGTCCCTCTGGCAGGTTAGGGTGTCCTCCTGTCTGCTGCGTCAGGGTTGAGGGCAGTTTAGGAGGAGGTTAGGTTATGGCAGTGTTTCTCAGGGATGGGAAGGTCATGTGGGTGGGACTTCAACTCATTGCCCAATGGAAAAAATCAAAGTAGTTTGTACTTCAAACAGACGAATCCACAGAGATCTCGAACAGTGCAAAAGTGGGGTTTTGTTTTTGTCACGGTGGGACCGAGGTTTGGTTGGTGGGACGTAAGGTGCAACCGGTTGAGAACCACCGGGTTATGGAGCTGCACGGGCTGGTTTGGACCTGGCTGATCCCCGCTCGGGGGACTCTGCGATTTGACCTCTGCCAGTCTCGGCGACCTCACGGGTGGGCGCGCTTCTAGGTGCCGCCTTTGAGCCCTTCCCTGGGGGCCGTGTGCGCGCCTCGGGGCCCTGCCCCGCCCGGCCCAGGGAGATGTGTGGCGCTGCCTCCCGCCCTGAGGCAAGGGGACGCGGGGCGGGCTAAGGACTGCGCACCCCGCGCACCCGGCGGGACTACAAGCCCCATGATGCCGCGCGCGGGGCGGGCGGCGGTGACGCGAGGGGGGGGGGCGCC